CCAGTGCACTTTCCAACTGGATTTTGCCAGTTCACACAGTAAAATCTAGTTGGAAAGTGCATTGAAAGTGGATAATTTAATGTGTGTGATCAGAGCCAGAGTGTTATATGCTCCCCGATTCTCTTGAGTGATGAAGTTCCAGGGGCTTTTGCTTACCTGGTTTGGTTCCCTTTGGACAGCAGAGCTCTGTTTTTTCTAGTATTTGTTTTATTTACAAATATACAAGGAGATCACAGGAAGTGGCACAGACATCTTCCTACAGGGCTGCAGATCTAGTACTCCATATCAGATGCTGAGGGGGGGGGAGGGAGATCCTGCAGCCCCAAAGTACCTCAGCCCACACACCAGTGGTTCTCTCTCCGCTCTTTCCAGCATCAGAACTGCCCTTTCTTTTTCATGTACACATCTGCCTTTAACAAGGTGTTTTCTTTCAAGCCCTGATGTATATTTGGAGATGACCATTTCCTCACATTCAAGGCCCAAAGAGGCCATCTACAATCTTTAAGACACTTTACCATTTTCTTTGTCATGTAGGACTGACCGAGCCACAGTGATGAGAGGACAAGTCTACAAGATGGGGTAGTTAGAAAAAAACCTTCATTTATATTGATGAAAAGTAAGGGGATACAAATCTGTAAAGAACATATCCAAAATGTGTTCTGGAGTGTTTTTGTGAGGCGGTGTTGCTTGAAATTTGGGCTTCCAAGAAACCACTTATTTGTTATTATATGTGGCACCACAAGATCTTTTCTCAAAGATAGTGTGGGGTTGTGGTTAGAGTGTCACTCATCCATGACATTCACTTGATGAGCCACTCTCACGCAGCCTAATGTGTCACAAGGGTTTGTTGCAAGGATAAAATATATACCAACCGTAAGTTTCCTGGAAGGCGAATAGAAATGTGATAGATAACAGCCACATGCCTATGCAATATATTGTAACTAGGTTTTCAATATATTGATTCTGAGCTTAATAAACCTTTGTTTATTATTATACTTGACTTTAGTAGTCAGGAAAATGAAATACAGATAACGTTGTTTGCCATTTTTCAAAACAGCCCTCTTCAGATATATATATTAGGTGACTTGTTCAGGTTATCTGACAGAGCTCATCATAGGATAATGTGTCCCTTAAGTAAATATTGCAAAGGATACAGACATGCCAAGTTTTAAACTTACCAGGCAATGCTGATTGGTATTCCAAATCTGGTTCCATTTAGAGCAGGTGTCCACAAACTTTTTGAGCCTGATGGCGCCTTTGAAATTCTGGCACAGGGTGGTGGGCACAACAACAAAGTGGCTGCTGAAGAAAGCAGAGCCAACCACAAATGTCAGGGAGTGAACTTATGCATAACTCCAATAGTAACTCTTTGACATATCAGGCTTAAACTCTGTTTCACGTGATGCCTTTTATTTTGCACAGCCAATCAGATCACCTATGGCCAATCTAAAGCCATACCTGACCCTGCCCATTTCTACAAAATACTTGGGTAGGACTTTAAAAACAGCATAAGAACATAAGAGAAGCCAATGTTGGATCAGGCCAATGGCCCATCTAGTCCAACACTCTGTCACACAGTGGCCAAAAATACCAGGTGACATCAGGAGGTCCAGCAGTGGGGCCAGGACACTAGAAGCCCTCGCACTGTTGCCCCCCCCCCAAGCACCAAGAATACAGAGCATCACTTGCCCCAGCCTGAGAGTTCCTATCTATACCTTGTGGCTAATAGCCGCTGATGGACCTCTGCTCCATATGCTTATCTAATTCCCTTTTGAAGACGTTCATGCTTGTAGCCGCCACCACTTCCTGTGGCAGTGAATTCCAAGTGTTAATCACTCTTTGGTTGAAGAAGTACTTCCTTTTATCCATTCTAACCCGACTGCTCAGCAATTTCATTGAGTGCCCACGAGTTCTTGTATTGTGAGAAAGGGAGAAAAGTACTTCTTTCTCTATCTGCTCTATCCCATGCATAATCTTATAGACCTCAATCATGTCACCCCTCAGCCATCGTTTCTCCAAGCTAAAGAGCCCCAAGCATTTTGACCTTTCTTCATAGGGAAAGTGTTCCAACCCTTTTATCATTCTAGTTGCCCTTTTCTGCACTTTTTCCAATGCTACAATATCCTTTTTGAGGTGTGGTGACCAGAACTGTACACAGTACTTCAAATGAGGTTGCAACATTGATTTATACAGGGGCATTATGATACTGGCTGATTTGTTTTCAATTCCATTCCTAATAACCCCCAGCATAGCGTTGGCCTTTTTGCCTGCAGCTGCACACTGTCTAGACAGTTTCAGTGAGTTATCTACTATGACTCCAAGATCTCTCTCCTGGTCAGTCTCGGCCAGTTTGGACCCCATCAATGTGTATTTATAGTTAGGATTTTTGGCTCTAATGTGCATCACTTTGCACTTGGCCACACTGAACCCCATTTGCCACGTTGATGTCCTCGACAGATCCCTTTGGAGTGCCTCACAATCCTTTCTGGTTCTCACCACCCTGAACAACTTCATGTCATCTGCAAATTTAGCCACTTCACTGCTTACTTCAACTCCAAATCATTAATAAACAAGTTAAAAAGCATAGGACCAAGTACTGATCCCTGTAGTACCCCACTGCTTACCACCCCCACTGAGAAAATTTCCCATTTGTACTCATTCTCTGTTTTCTATTAATTAGCCAGTTTTTGATTCACAAGAGGACTTGTCCTTTTATCCCGTCACTATTGAGCTCACTTAGGAACCTTTGATGAGGAACTTTATCAAAAGCTTTCTGGAAGTCAAGGTAAACAACATCTATTGGGTCCCCCTTGTCTCAGCACCTCAGGAGTACAGTAGTGCAGGAGATGATGGAGGATCCTGGATCTTAGGTTGATCTAATTTGGAAACCATGTATTAGCAGTTCAACAATTACTTCCTGAAGTATCAGGCAGCCCAAAGTATTTCCTGAGAAAGTGAGATCATGAGCTGCCCAGAGGTATTGTTCCTTCCACTATTTGATGGTGCGTAGCTATCTACCTTCCAGTATGTCCATTCACTAACTACTTCCTACCTGTTTTCTCTTTTTCTTCATCTAAAATCGTTATTATTAGGCATAAAATCAGGGCTGATGATATTGGAGATAATGTTTGAAAATTAGCTTTGTGAAATTCCCTTTTCGTTGGTTTAGATCTAATCTGCTTTTTTGCTCAGTCTTGGCCAATCCCCCTCATTATAGCCTCTGTTCCATGTGGCTTTTGGCAATGCATGTCCCATGATCCGAAACATCACTTTTCTGGTGGTCAAAGGGGACCCCTTCCTCCTTTTTCTCACATGGAAAAATGTGGTTGGAGCCAACCCTCTTTTTAAAAAATAGATCTGCAATGTTGCATCTGTGTTCCTCATTACTGTTTTTCTACTTAAATTTAAAAGGTTTAAATTTCTATACAGGAGAGTAAATCTTCATAGTGAATGCATAATGCTGTAACTACATGCTTCGTGGGGCATGTATTCACTGAAAACCAGAATTATTAAACATGTAGAACCCCCATAGGACTCTATTGTGTGTAATAACAGATAAACTGTCATCAGAATCAATGAAATGTGCCAAATGACCCAAACATGTATATAATTAAGTGCCTTCTTCCGAGAAGGAGCTATAAGGATTTATTTCCCCCCTGCTTGTGCATTTATTTGTAAATAATAACCAAGGTTGCCTTGTTAACCTCTTAGTTGTCAGGATTTTAAAAAATATTGCTTCTTTCAGGAGATATTCTCCACACATTTGTTTAAAAAAAGGGAAAGTTACTGAATGGGTAGTGGCAAAGCAACTCCAGAAGTACCTGGATGAGACGTCTGCCCTTGACCCTTTTCAATCAGGCTTTAGGCCTGATTGGGATTGGGATGGTTTTGGGTTGCTGGGGGATGATCGCTATCTCAGATGGATAAAAAAAATGCATCTCTATTCCTATTAGATCTGTCAGCAGCCTTTAATATGGTAGACTGTATCACACAGTATCTAGAAAGTGAGGTGAGACAGGGTGGAACATTGTGAATATACTTTTGGTTCTTTTTATCTGACCAGTCCCAAAGGTTGCAGAAGGACATGGGGACTGAAATGGGGGAGGGGTGCCACATGTTATCTCCCATGTTGATGTAAAGCCCCTTAATGAGGCAGTCCGAAACTCTAGAGTAGGGTGTGAACAATATGCTTCCAGTTGTGGCTATCTCTGTCCTGGTCCAATGTATGAATGCAGTCGTCAAATGGCTAAGGGAAAACAAACTAAAGCTGAATCCAGGTGACAGAGGTGAAGTTGGTTGGAAGGGCTGGTGCTTTCAGCGGGATTGTTCTATCAGTGGAGTTGACAGAGGTGAAGTTGGTTGGAAGGGCTGATGCTTTCAGCGGGATTGTTCTCTCTTCTATCAGTGGAAAGGAACTTTTGCTGAAAGATTTCTATTAAGAGCCTACGTCTTGTTGGATCCTGGTCTTCTGCTGGAGAAATGGTGTCTATGACAGAGAATTATGCTTTTTTTCCCAGGTTTTTCAGTATGAGCAAATCTTGCCCAAATTATAACTGACTTTGCCAATCCTATTTAGCAAAGTAGCCTTGAACTTCTGAAAATATGACCAGTTTGCTTGCAGAATTAGTGCTTTACAGCCCCACAATGGAATGAGCTTCTTGCATATCTAAGAAATACATTTCAAACATATTAATGCAAATTTCAACGCTCATTTCTCTTAATCTATATAAACCAAGTACATTTACAGGAAGCAATTACATGTTTGTAATTACACCAGAGACCCAAACATTTTTCCAGAAGGTCAATATGGTAATAAGTGGGTAATTATCTAACTTACTCATAAGCGAGCCCAGAAAATGCTGGGTAAATCCATGCAAATCCATAAACAATTATTGTGTCGCTACTTATTACGGTGCAAGTTACAGTTTACAGCACTGGAGTTATAATCCTGCTTCCTGGCACGGAAACTGAAAACTGCTTTTGCTTCTTTTGTCTTGCAGACTCAATGCACATAGAAGATGTCGAAGCCGTTCAGAAACTTCAAGATGTCTTGCACGAGGCATTGCAGGATTACGAGGCCGGGCAGCATATGGAAGACCCACGCCGGGCGGGCAAGATGCTGATGACTCTGCCACTGCTAAGGCAAACCTCCACTAAAGCTGTGCAGCACTTCTACAACATCAAACTGGAAGGCAAAGTCCCCATGCACAAACTTTTTTTGGAAATGCTGGAAGCCAAGGTCTGACTAAAGCATCCTGGGCCTTCCAGTTGTGCACACTGAAATTTTAAAGAAAGGGAAAACAAACAGGGGAAAAAAAGAACAGCAAAGAAACTTTAGTGTTTAAATTAAGGAAACTAAAATGACTGCACTGATACTTAGCAGCAAGACTGAGAAGCAGCTTTCACCTCTTTATAATCTGTGTCTTATCTGATGCAGCTTTCCTTCTACATTTCTCTCTTCTTTTCCTGTTCTTATTTTTTCCCCCTTTTCTTCGTTACTTTCCCCCCTTTGCTGCTGAATCTTTTAAAAAGAGGTCTCTAATAGAAGAGAGATGGAAGCCAGGCCTGCCAAAGGATGGAAATCCATAATATGGATGCCAGTGAACTTATTACGAACCACAATACCCCAATGACAAAGGAATCAAAAGAGAACCATCGTACCTAGCAGTACAGTACAGTACAACACGATGAACTGACTGAATGCAGTATTAGGTTTCACGAGAGCAGCCTCTAATTAGACGACTTCGATGACAATGCATTGGCTGCTTCTTATCATGGCATTTTCCATCTAGATCAGTTACAGCCATTTGATTCCTTAATTGTTTTTTCAAGTCTTCCAGATATTTCTTAGGTTAGCTACGATGTAACTTTTTCAGGGAATAGTTTGAGCTTTATTCATTCATGCAATACTAAAGAGGAAAGATAAACAAACACTGCATTTTTTTTGTGCTGGCTTGAACAATGATGAACATTAATGAAGGACAAATGAATCCTGAAGGATGATTTTTTTAAACAAAAAGTTTTGGTTCTTCTTACTAACGGGAGATTTTTTTCTACCAGCTTTACCAATTTTCAGCCATTTGTTAACGTGGGAATTTATCTTACTCAAGCAATAGTTGAAGGGAAGGTGCATATTATCACGGATGCAATTTATGTTGTGTGCCAGTCTAGTCCAAGACATCCCGTTTCTTCGCATGAGTTCCAATTTATACCTAAGTGTTAACTGAAACAAGCAATTAGATTACACCTACAATATATCTGAGTAGTCTAAAGATGTCATGTCAAGTAGGAATCTAAAAAGATGTTAGAAAGGTGCTTCTGTATGACCAAGATACAGTTGTTCCATGATCTTAATAATTCTACATGTTCATTAGTGATGTGGCCTTTCATTTTCAAAATTGCAGACTTCTTATTGAAAGACCAACCCACCTCCACCCCCGCTAGCAATAAGGCAAAAATGAGATTTCAGAATAGTCAGCATCTGACCAAATTCAAGAACTTAGCACTTGTATACATTATTTATTAATTTATAAAAAATTATTTTGGGTAGATTGCCATTTTTAAATGAACAGCCTAACCAAGTATATCTGCTTTTTCAACCAGTGTCATCACAGCATGAAAGTCAGTCAGTTTCTAAGACTGTTAAGAGGTGTAATCTAATGTATAAACCAATTAGATGCCCCCCCAAAACTACAGTCGCTAAATAACTAATAAACAATAACCTCCATCAAATGCTATACCAATGTACCAGTGTTAGTGGCTGCTCCCTGTACTATGTGAACAACCTTATTCTATGTACACAAATGTAATTAAAATTGTAATCCTAACAAACAAAAGAAATGTAGTTCAGCTTTTCAATGTTTCATGTTTGCTGTGCTTTTTGGAAATTTTTATGTTGCATTCAAAGACTGTTGTCTTGTTCTTCTTGTGGTGTTTGGATTCTTGTGGTGTGTGCTTATAGACACAGGGTAGAATTAGAGACAATATTGGATGTAAAATTCCTCAGGAGACTACAGTAGTATATTCTATTCCTTCTGGTAATAAGGTTCTTCCTAGTAATAATTAAGAGATTGGGGGGGGAAACCAACCAAGTACTCATTATGGACAGATACACATTGAAATCATGATATTTTCAAAACAAGGGATAATTTCTGTATTGGTTTATTATAGAATACCTATGTATAGCTTAGAAATAAAACTTTGAATATTTCAAGATAAGTCTAATTTTTAAATGCTGTAAATATAGCTTTCATCCAGTCATCTCTCAGATGTTGTTATTACCTTGCTCTGTGTTTGTTGCAAAAACCTTTTTCCTTTTTTGTTTGTGCAGACATGTTTCCAAAACTATTGCTACTTTGTGTGCTTTAAACAAAATACAGCAGGTTGATGGTGCATCAACCTTATGCTAGAAATACTGTGTATCTCTCATTAGCTATATGGGATTCTCTTGTAGATTGTGTTTTTCTCAGTAGAGAAGTGACTGTTGTGTGATCCTAGATAAATCATCATTAGCAATTCATTCAGATGGCCAATAACTTGAAATTAATAGCTGTGATAGGAGTTTGGAAATTGGCACATCCCTTTTGAAAAATGACAAACCCTTACAACTCCTGGGTGGGGAGGAAAGGTGCTGATTCTATAAAATTATTTATATATGTAAGAGTGCAGAAAAAATTATTTTCCAGAAAATTTGTGCAGGGTTTAAGTTACTACTGTTCAACTACACTATATATGTATATATAAATATCTAATATAAATATTGTTTTTGTCGGATCACATTGAAAATTTCTTGGGTTTCAGGGTCAATATCCAATCAACACACTCAGAAAAGAAAAACAAAGACTTAAGGAAGATGGATATGTGTTGTAGGAACACAGTGCAATTTTTTACTTCTGTTTTTCAGTAATATTCAGAGCTGCAATGAACAAATATCTCGTGGCTGTACAAATGTTAACTGAATCATAGATACACTGCACAGGCATTAGAATAGAATTACTCTTAAACCTTGCTGAAAGATACTTTCACAACCACTTATTTAATGTGAAATACTGAGGAAGATTAAAAAATTGTTTGTTTTAGCTTATAAACAATTTTGGTTAGAGGCGATAAAATACATCTGGAATCTCTTCGGCACAAGCCCCATTGAAATTAATGGGTATCAAGGAGGCCTTTTGCATTCTTGTTTGGCTCCTGTTCAGTTCAACATGCAAACGCCAAGAAGACGTTTTTGATGCATTGTACCCTGGGCTATTTTTTTCCTTCTTTTTTTCTTTTCCTTTTTTAAAGCAATATGATTGTGCGGCTCCTGGAAGTTGCACATTTGTTTCAATCAAATCAGATTGTTGTATTTATTCCACTATTTTGCATTTAAATGCTAACATAAAAAGATATAAAAAATTAAAACTGCTATTTTTCTTATGGAAGAGAAAATGGGTGTTGGTAATTGTATTTTAATTATTTAAGCGTCTCTGTTTACCTGCCTAGAAAAACACTTTATGGCAGTCTTATTGTGCAAAGATCACAAAAGAGGGGGAAAAAACTGAATTAAGCTGCTTATTATAATCCAGGAGTTGCATAATAACCAGTAGAAAAAAAACACAAATTTTAAAAAATCATGTCTATAGCTGTAGACGGGCTTCACATCTGTAAAGCAATCAACTGTATATTTTTGTGATGTGTATCATACTGTGTGCTCCAACCAATGTCCATTTGTGTAAATGTATTTATTTTATATTGTATATATTGTTAAATGCAAAAAGGAGATATGGTTCTGTAACTCCAATCAGTTCAGATGTGTTACTCAAATTATTATGCCTTTCAGGATGATGGTAGAGCAATATTAAACAAGCTTCCACTTTTAATTGCTTTTAATTTTTTGTGTTGTGGATTTTATTTTGTTTTGCTTTTGCTTTTCTGTATCCGAGAATCGAATCAGTAGGTGTCACCTTTATTAGAGCAATGAGCACATATATCCTTAAGTAGGTACATAGCTACATGCTGTACAAAGACTTGTCAGAATACATTTCAGTGCAGCATGGCCATTTTGCATACTCTTAAATATGCACTCTGTCTCTTAACACATTAGAATTCATTCTGACAAGCGCTTATTTAATCTTAAAACAGCTCCACATCAAACAATGTTACCCAAAATTATTGCCTCTCTGTCAGTGTCATTAAAGAAAACTTCTCTGATATTTTAAGATCATTTTACTACTAACTACAAGTAGCTATTTGCTTTCTTCATCAACCTTGAATCTACCATTCAGCGCTTAAGGCACAAGTGGGAATTTTTCTGATTGGGGTTTTGTGAGCTGTATTTTTTTTAAAAGTGGCATGCACAACAGCCTTTATGAATTGCAAGCCCAGCCTTTATGAATTGCAAGCCTAGAAAGAGTGATGATATAGATTGGTGTTAATGATGATCATCAATAATTCTACAAGACCACAAGAGAGCCTTGATTTACAATTTCACAGGTTCTGATCTAGAAAAATTGGTCTCTTCTCGCCATAGTCTCAATCTGTGCTTCCCAAGGACATAACTACCAGTTTTGGTCTTGATAGGTTTTGCCATTGTGTTTTCCCAACATGCTGGTCATTTTCTGGATGTTAAACATGATACAAAGCTCCAAAAGCTAACTGATATTCAGGATCAGTTATGTCCCCCTTCCCATACAAGCTGCCAGGTTAGATCTTTGCATTATGCATTTTTAACAAAATATGCCAGCAAAAAGATTCATTCATTGAATTCTTCACATCCAAGAGCCGCCTAGTTCTTGTCTAGCTTGGCTTCAAGTCAGAAGCTACACAAGCATGACAGCCATGTATACTTGTTTAGCTTTAGGTCCTATTTTTATGGTTTCCGATGATGCGGTGGCTCAAGTGGTTAAGACGCTGAACTGCAGGCTGTGGAAGGTCAGTAGTTCAGCAGTTCAAGACCTGAGTGTGCCGCAAGACGGGGTGAGCTCCCGTCTCTAGTTCCAGCTCCTGCCAACCTAGCAGTTCGAAAGCAAGAAATTGCAAGTAGATAAATAGGTACCACTTCGGTGGGAAGGTAACAGCATTCCGTGCGCCTTGGTGTTTAGTCATGCCGGCCACATGACCATGGAAACATCTTCGGACAGCACTGGCTCTTCGGCTTTGAAACGGAGATGAACACTGCAACCCTAGAGTCGGACTCAACTGACTTTCGAGCAAGGGAACCTTTACCTTTACCTATGATGCACATTTCTCTACCTGCATGTACAGCAACATTAAGGGAACTAGTCATGCAACCAGACAAACCTGCCTTGGCAAACCTACAGGGTCACCATGAACATCGTATGAGCTGCAACTTGAGGGCACGTTCCACCACCACAAATTTTAATGAGGGTGTTATAATCCTTACAGATGGCTAAACATTCCAGTGAAAGAAGTGTTTAAAGGAAATATTTGCTTATAAAAACACAATACAAATATACATGCACAGAAAGAAACCTATAACAGCATTCCAGATAGTACTAATGGCTCCAGAGCAGATGTTATGCTGGAAGAGAACTACCCAGTGTTTTGGTTTTTTGAAAATGACAATTGCAGCCACAACAACATATGGGGAAAGGGAATCAACTGTTTCTCTGCATCTGGTTTTGCTGATGGAAATCACCTCTCCAGGTTGTTAGCCCCAAAGAGACCAAAGTTCAGAGCGGCCAAGTGTTAGTCAAACATTTGCTCTGTTGTATCAATAAACTGTCTCAATAAAAGCACAATATTAAACAATTCTTCTATGGTTCATTTTCAAGTATTTAAAGTAGTTTTCATGTCC